TAAGGGAACATGTTCTTGCTATGATGGCCCAGCTGAATGAGCTAGAGGTTCTTGGGCTTTTATTGATGGGGAAACTCAGGTCGATATAGTGCTCCAGTCTTTGCCGAAGAGCTTCGAGCAATTCCGGTTGAATTATAACATGAATAAAATGTTGATGACTCTTCCAGAACTTGTTGCTGAGCTTCAAGCGGTAGAGGGCCTGTTTCGTCAGAAGACCCAAGCCATGGTGGCCCAGCGGGGAGAAGCTTCCACTTCTAAGGCTCCTAAGGGCAAGAAGAGGAAGAAGTCCGCAGGAAAGGGCAAAGCGGTCATGAGTGACGCGCAACCTCGACAAAGACAAGGAAGCCGAAAGGCAAGTGCTAAAACTGTCAGCAGAAAGGACACTAGAAGGCAAACTGCCCTCTCCCCAAGAAACCCGAAAAAGGTACTCCTTTTGCTTTAGTCGTTGAAACATGTTTAGCGGTGTTATCTACCAGTACCTGGTGTGTAGATACGGGGGCCACTGATCATGTCTGCAATTCATTGTAGGGGTTCCAGGAAACCAAGCGACTTAAGGAAGGAGAGGTTACCATCTACTTGGGCGATGCTAGTAGAGCGTCAGCAGTTGCAGTGGGAGACGTCTATTTAGTTTTGGCTTAGATAGGTTTCTAGTTTTGAAAGATTGTCTTTATGTTCCAGTTTTAGAAAGAATTTGATTTCAGTTTCTAAGTTGTTTATGAACGGTTTTTCCGCTACGTTTGATAATAAAGTTGTTATTCGTTTTGGCAAAAAGTTCATATGCTCTGGTTCATTAGTTGACAATCCGTACATTCTAGAATCTAAGTCATCTCCACTGCAACAGAAACAATTACTTAAATCATCATCTAATCTGAATAAGAGAAAGGAACCTTCTAAAATGAACGAAACATACCTTTGGCATCTCAGACTTGGTCATATTAACCTTAGGAGGATTCAAAGGTTGGTGGCAGACGGGCCCTTGGGGTCGTTAGAAGTCGAGGCTTTTCCAACTTGTGAGTCTTGCCTGGAAGGTAAAATGACTAAGAGGGCTTTTAGTTCAAAGGGGCATAGAGCCGAAGATGTGTTGGGGTTAGTTCATTCCGATCTATGTGGTCCTATGAGTATTCAAGCGAGGGGTGGTTTCGAGTACTTCATTACGTTTATCGATGATTACTCGAGATATGGATACATTTTCCTTCTGCACCGCAAGTCTGAATGCTTTGAGAAATTCTTAGAGTATAAGGCGGTTGTGGAGAAGGAGTTAGGAAAAAGCATCAAGTCATTACGATCGGATCGTGGTGGCGAATATCTCTCGAATGAATTTAGGAGCTACTTGACGGATAATGTGATTACGTCCCAGCTGACTGTGCCTGGCACGCCTCAGCAGAATGGCGTAGCAGAACGGAGGAACAGGACTCTTATGGAAATGGTTAGGGCAATGATGAGTTATAGTACATTACCAGATTCGTTTTGGGGATATGCCCTAGAAACAGCGGTATACATTCTGAAGAGAGTACCTTCTAAATCAGTACCGTCTACACCATTGGAGTTGTGGTCTGGGCATAAGCCCAGTCTAAGACATCTCAGGATTTGGGGTAGCCCAGCACATGTGCTGAGAACCGATACTGATAAGTTGGAACCGAGATCAGAAGTAAGGCTGTTTGTGGGATATCCTAAGGAAATGAAAGGTGGTCTATTTTATAGTCCCGAGGACCATAAAGTAATCGTTAGCACGAATGCTAGGTTCTTGGAAGAAGACTATATAACGCCCCGTTTGATTATGAATTATTGGAGATTATTATTATTATTATTATTA